CACCACCACCAACACCACCAACACCACATCACCACACCACCACATCACCACACCACCACATCACTACACCACCACATCACCACTTCCACTACTACCCCCACATCACCACTACCACTACTACCACCACCACCCCCACCACCACCACCACATCACCACACCACCACATCACTACACCACCACATCACCACTTCCACTACTACCCCCACATCACCACTACCACTACTACCACCACCACCACCACTACCACTACTCCCACCACCACCACCACCACCCCACCACCACCACCACCACCAACACCACCACCACCACTACCACTACTACCACCACCACCACCACCACCACCACCACCACTACCACACCACCAACATCACCACCACCACCACCAACACCACATCACCACACCACCACATCACCACTACCACTACTACCACCACATCACCACTACCACTACTACCACCACCACCACCACCACTACCACTACTACCACCACCACCACCACCACCACTACCACACCACCAACATCACCACCACCACCACCACACCACACCACCACCACCACCACCACACCACCACCACACCACCAACACCATACCATCACCACCACCAGGTAATGTGCTAGACCATTTGCACAATTCTCACACCAAGTTCAAGGTCAGAAATTAAGTCAAATTTCAAACAAAATTTACTTTCAGTGCAGATTGAATAAAAATGGTTTAACTTGTGAATATATGTTTATGACACAACAGAGACATACCATCATTAACCATTGTGCCATGGACCCAGCTTCAAGATAAAAGTTGAGGTTAAAGGTCAAATGACCTTAATATTTTTGTAGATTGATTTTTTATTTGGCTACACAAGACCATGCATTATTATAAGAATAGGTGGTATACCATACATATGAAATGGTTTTCAAAACCCTTGTAAAGGTCAAAATTGAGATCAAAGGTCAAATTGATTTTTTGAGCATTTTTTACTTCAATATCTTACATCTTTCATTAAATATTTATGGACATATACATTTGTACATCAATCCTTGTGGTTACCAGATGTGTGTTTTATAAATGTTCTTTTCAGAACTTAAGCTTCAAGGCCATGATAACAATTTGAGGTCAAAGGTCAACATCATAGTTTATAGATTTCTCAAATGAGTGGTTGGCAGAGGATTTTTTTTTATGTTAATCCCTATAAAGTCCTACAATGATTTAATGTTTCTTTTGAGAGCTAACATGTCTATTTAGAGTTATACTCACTAGTACATGCATATGTGATTTTAATTGTTAGTGCCAATGGAATTCTCACAAATATGTGAGGTTTGTTTATTAGTGCCAATGTGTTAGATATATGAGCATTATAATGTAGGAAATGTCATTCGGGAATAATCTGTTATGTACCATTTTATCAGATGTATCTGTGTATCGTATTTTTTCTTCAAAATTAATTGAAGCTTAATTGTAGATAGTTTTTTTACATAAATAGATGTCAAGCATTCCTTAAGAACATAATGTATCTCTAAGTGCCTTTATATCTGACCAGGATTCTGTGATGTTATATGTTGCTTACCCGTGTCGGCAGAAACACGTACAGTTATAATTACCAGTTGTAATAGGGGTACAGAAGTACCCCTAACAACCCAAAATATGAATGTAAGTGGGTTTATTCTGTAATTGGAAAAGGTCGGAAAATACTTGGAACGACGGAAAGGGACATCAGTCAATCTATCCAGACATGTTTTCTGTTACATTCCCAGTCAAGTCTGTTTTTATATCTCAACAGTTCAACTTATTGTTGCTCTGCTATATATTAGAAACATAACCTCTTTTTAGGAAGCTGAGATAGGTATTTTATTACATACCTAGTAAATCTTTCTCTAGTGATATACATATGTAGCCAGTTTTCAGGCCTTGCAATACTAGGGTCCATATTTCATACTGTCATGACACAAGATGTTGAACTATCCTAGTAGCCAGAACTCCTGTTTTGCTGAAACTCGTTATTGGTTGTTATATGTACTTGAAGTAAAAATGGGATCCAACTATTTCGGTGACGTTTTACTCTGTGGTAACGAGACATTATTATATTCTCTCCTCTACTTTGTTTTGTCTTCCATTTTTGTTTTGTTCAAGTTTTTGGGAATCAAATTAATATGGGGCAATAAAAAGTAACATTTCGCAGGAAATGTCATATGCATACAAACAACAGATGTAGGTACTTTGTACATTACAAAGTCGATATACTAAACCGGTCTTCATCTGACATCTCAGGTTTCACTCGTTATTTGCACGAATGGATATATTTCACTCAGACTTAAGCTCTTGTGAAATATATCCATATGCACATGAGACATCAGATGAAAACCAACATGCGGTATTACGTACATTACATCTATTTTTCATTATGAAAATATAACTTGCCATATTCAGCCTGTCAGTATTTCCACCTGTGTGTTATGGAGTGTATGGGCACAAGTGTTTGTGAAGAGGTAGTTTAATAAATAAACTAGCACATCAATTCTGCTATTGTTCTGACTTTTCTTTCATTTTATATTCATATAGTAGGCAGCTGAGGAAAATCACAAATCCTATTTAATCCCCAGACAGGAAATCAAATGTCATACGTCAGGAGATCAGTAAATGGTTTGTCTATATATACATTCAGAATAAAACAATGGAACAACATGTCTTATTTGATGTCATTTAAACTAAACAAGAATGCAGGTCAGTTTCAAAGTTACATTGTAAAATAAGAACATTTGAGTATTGAAATGCAGAAAATTTTATCATTATGACAGTAACTGGGACATATGAATTGCAAACTTGTACAAAACACTTTGTTGAAAGTCCCAACTTCAAATGTCAAAATGTAAGGGGTGAAGAATCAGCTAGGGAAAGATTCTCCAAGGAAGAATAATAATTATAATATACAACATTTATATAGCGCCCTATATAATTTGTAAAATTACTCTAAAGCACTTTACAACATATGGATAATAGTTTTAGTTATAATTGTGAAACAAAAAGGCTTACAATCACTTTTATACATTTAATAAAAGCAAGCAGATAATCATCGCAATGTGCACATAAATGAACAAATAAAGGGTAGTATTTACATGACGTCTTTGCAAAGAGCCTTAAATGCAAACGTGTAGAGGTGAGTTTTGATGTCCCTCTTAAATTTGGCCAGGGTATTTGACTTTCTAATAGCAGATGGTAAGCTATTCTACAACATGGCTGAAACCCTCCCACAGCACCGGTTTCCATAGGTAACAGTACGAGATTTTGGGATACACAACAATCTAGGAGGGAGCCTGTCAGATGAAGAACAAAACGAATACTACATTGGTATACATTAGGGTAGACTACTACACTGGTATACATTAGGGTAGACTTCTACACTGGTATACATTAGGGTAGACTACTACACTGGTATACATTAGGGTAGACTACTACACCGGTATACATTAGGGTAGACTACTACACCGGTATACATTAGGGTAGACTACTACACTGGTATACATTAGGGTAGACTACTATATTGGTATTTTCATTTCAACATATTTTATTGACATAGAAGAATGTTACACTGTCAAAAGGATTGGACAACAGGCTTATAGCCTATATAAGTCCTCTCCATTGATGGTAGGTATATGGACATAATGGATTGAATTTATAATAATAAGATTTTGCTTACTGTCAAAAATTAACATTTGTAAATCTAATTAGATATTTACATAATTAAGAGGTTATTATATAAAATATGGTGTGGGTGGGGGAAGGGGGATAACTCCCATAGAATAGTGTATTAATTAGATTTGGTCTGCAATATA